CTTCCTTCCTTCCTTCTTGTTTTCTTGACAGAGTCTCACTGTGTAGCACTGGCTGGCCTGGAACTCGTTATATAGATGGTGCTTGGCCTGGAACTCACAGAAATCTGCCTGCTTCTGCTGGGTTTAAAGGAATGTATCAGTCGCACCTGGTCATTCATGAAACTCTGTCAGGAAGGAAGAAAGGGAGGGAGGAAGGGAGGGAGGAAAGAAAAGAGAGTTCCCTTCCTTGGTCACATTAGCATATTTCCAGTGCTCAGTGGCTGTTGTGCTGAGCCAGGAAACACATGTCATTCCCACCATTCCAGGCCTGGTAGGGTCTGGTGGGCTGTGAGAGATTTGGGCTTTTCCTTTGTATAAACAGAAAGTCATTCTAGGGTTTGAACAGAGGAGAAGCCTGATCTGGGATGTGATCTCAGAAGGTCACTGCTAAGGACAGGCTGGAAGGGACACTGGTGGAATCAGAGAGATCAAGATTGATCGAGAGGTGACTGAGTGTGTCTGTTGAGATAAGGAAAAGTTGCTAAGTTTGTCATATATTTTGAAGGCAGAACCGGGAGTTTCTCATGGGATTGATGTGCTGGGGGAGAGAAAAGTGTTAACATGTTGGGGGTGATGGCAAAGAAGGGGAGGCAGAGCCTAGGAGGGAAAATGGATCTCAGAGGAGAGGCTCCTCACCTTGAGCCACAGGGGAAGTAGGGTTCTGGGAGGAGGTCTAAAGCCCTTGTGTTAATAGGAATAAAAGGAGAGACAGGTATATTGGAAGTTTCAGGGTGGAGGAAAGAGTTAAAATGAGAAACACAATACAGTTGTTAGTGTCGAGGCCCATTGGAGCAGGTGATCCTGAACCTCTACCTTTTCACCATCTCCAGTAGAGCTTGACTGATGGCATGCAAGCAAGGGGAGAGGAGATTGGCTGGGCTCCTCCAGGGATGGAGATTTTTCTAGATGAATCTGTAGACAACACAGACTTGGGAAGAACTTAAGGGATTGGCAGAGAGTATTACAATATCAGACCACGAAATCTGAATGGAGTAAGTAGGTAAGTGAGAAAAAGCAGAAGGGCAATGCATTGGGAGACAGAAGGATCTACAGACTAGTAGTGACCCCAACATTTCTAAAAACAAAGTTGTTCACTGTGTAAGTTGGAAGGAGAGATACTTTCATAGGGTGGAACTCTTCAAGCAGGCAGGTGGCTGCTGGTGATGGCAAAGAGGGGGGGGTGGAAGGGTCTTTGAAACTGTCTATATCTTCATTGTGGATTGACTTGCCAAGTGTCAGAACTCCCTGTAATATATTCTCACTGTGGAATGCATAGCAAGTTTATTTACTAAGAACACAGGATTGGAAGCCCAGAGAGCTGCCTAGGGTTCCAGGCCTGGCACAGAGCAGCTGTGTCACAAAGAACGTGAGGAAATGAACCTTCAGACTGTGCCTCTGTGGCCTTACCATCATAGACTGTTTTCCCAAACATTGACCTTTCATATGAGTTGGAGGATTTTTCTGTGAAAAATGTGCATCTGTGCAGACGTATCTATTGATGGCCCCTTGGTATATCAGCACCCTGTGGGTCAGGTCCTGGAATCTGACTACACAGTTATCTGAGTGGGTGAGACAGGATTACCCACTACCCTAGAGGTGGCCAGATTACTGGACCTTTACCACCCTCCCCAGGTCTCTCCACCTACAACACATTTTTCTCTCTGTTTATGTTCATAAACATAAACCTTAGAGGAGACCTCAGTCAACAGATGCCAGCAGAGACTGCTGCCCTCAGAATTCAATGCTGGGAAACCTGTGAATTCCTGTGAATTAATAGAATTTATTCAGAAGAGATTCCAGGAGAGACCCCTCCACACACACACACACACACACACACACACACACACACACACGCCTCCACTCACTCTTCCTGCTGGAGTGCAGAGAGAAGGGAGGACAAGCTAAGGTAAATTTTTAACAGGATAGTCTAGCTTGAGCTTGAAGGGTTCGGTGGACGAAGTGAGTCGTCAGTTATGTTTTAGGTTAAATAGCCACACTGTTTACCAGAGTTTTCTCCAGAGTGTTCTAGGGTCGTAAAGTGATCTAACTGTTGTACCTGCTGTTTGAACTGGCTGAGCCTCTTGAGGGACAGAAAACAAAAGAACTGGGTTGAAATGTAAATAGTCTCAGTCTCTGGGCCCCCAAAATAAAGCCAGAGCGTTCATCAATGTCTCCACTGACCTGGGTGAGGTGGCTCTAGGAAAATCTCACAAGATATAATTTCTGTGCCTGAATTCCAGACCGAAGGTGGGTAAGAAAAACAAAAACAAAACATAAACAAAGAATCTCATACTTGGAGTTTGCTCAGTACCAGCTGAATAGCTAATTGTTTCTTGTGTTCATCCCCTCCCCCCATTTTTTCTGCCTGAATAGATAATCCTCACAAAACAGCTATTCATTCTACGAGTGAAAATCTCAAGAATGCCATGATACTGACCTTGGCACAAGTCATGGACGAGTTGGAGATGGATCTGTGTGTGTTGTGACTAGCTTGTGTTTTGGTACTTTGTAAAACAGTTTATGAATATTTTAGTAATAGAAAAAAGAAGATTTATGGTGTTTTCATTCATGAATACAGCGAAGGCTAAAACTTGGAAATCAATGTATAAGATACAACATTTTTATAGTTTGCTTTTGGGCACAAACTCAATTATTTTTTGTTTTTTCAAGAAAGGACCTATGGGGTTAGGGCTCAACTGGTGGAATGCTTTCCTAGAATATTTGAAGCTCTGGGTTTGATCTCCCACACCTCACACTCTGGGTGTGGTGGTGACTATAATTGTAATACTAGGAAGGTGGAGATCAGAAGTTCAAGGCTATCCTTGCTTACATAATGAGCTTGAGGACAATCTGGGGTACCTGAGACTCTGTCTAAAAGTAAGTAAATAGGAAAGGACCTGATGCAGTTGGAGGTGGAGCACAGTTGATCGAATGCTTGCCTAGTATGTGTGAAGCCTTGGGTTCGATTTCTAGCACTGCATAAATCAGGCATCCAGGCCTGGTGATACTCAGCTGGGATCATAGCACTCTGTACGGGCAAGATGAACTGAAGTTCAAGGCCAGCCTTGGCTATATTATGAGTTCAAGTTCCACCTAGGCTATATGGGACCATGTCTTATAAAACAAAGGACATGATAATAATTAATTTTTGGGGTAATATTTCCATGAAACCATGTTAATTGGTATGTAAACTACTATTATTCTTTTTGCCTTTTGAGGCAGGGTCTTGATATATAGCCCAGATTGGCCTTAAGCTTCCAGTGATCCTCTTGACTTAGTCTCTCTAGTGTGTGTCATCTTGCCACCCAGCTAACAATTATTTTTCAAGGGAAATAAGTGGATACAGCCTGGTGAAAACAGGGAGTCAGATTTTTATTTGCTAAGTTAAGTTTGGGCCCCTACTTG